TAAGACCGTAAATGCACCACACATTATGTCTCCATAAGATGGTAGTTATAATCTTTCAATCCAATCCCCTAATTTAGTATACCCCCACCAAATCATAAAAAAATAATAACATAGCGAAACGGTGTTTAATTCTGATCATCTAAATTATCAAATGATATTCGCCGAAGTAGTAACTGAGAAGGGCGTGTTTTAAGATATACATAATGTATCTTACTATTTTTCGCTTATATAATTTGATTTTCAAATACAAACCATTAATACTTATCTTAGCATTAAAACAATCAACCATTTGTGATTATATTGAAATCTGTAAAAGACGCATTCTTTTTGAATATATTTTTAAAAAATAATATGTTAAGTACAACAGTCCAGTAGGTTTTGCTGCATTGGAAAAAAACATATTAGTAACGCTTTTTCAACAAGCAATTGTTATACTCTTAGTGATTTGTAGAGCGTCAAATCACAATGTTATTGTACTGTTTTAAATTGTAGCTTTTATTCATTCATGTAAAACATTTATTACAATTTTATAATAAAATGTATAAAACACTGAGTTCGAGATTCAAATCACAAATCCATCCAAGCTAGAAAACTGCAAATCCGAATATTTTTGTTTATAAAATATTTACTTTCCATTCAATAAATATTCCAGTCATCTAGTTTTGGATTTGGGGAAATTCATTCTCCTTTTCCCATAAATACAGATTGCCGTATTATTTAATAATCAAACCAAACAGCATGTAATCAAAGAACGCTTGTATCCGCCATATGTAATATTGTCACGTGACATTGTTATGTTTTGTTTCGCTCGGGAAGCGTTTATTATACATAATAGAACTCCAGTGTAGTAAGCCATAACTATGAACAATATCATGTCCCAAATAAATAATCTAATATGTAGATCTGCAATTGGTCACATGATGGTCCGAACATTATTTGTATGGCTCTATTTGTTGACAGCAAATACCGCTAATAATTATCTTGGATAAAATACCTCGTTTAGTAAACGAGGCAATTTTACCCAGCCTCGTTCTGAACAAAATACCTCGTTCCAAAAACAGGGCAATTTAAAAAACCACGTTTTGGAACTCCAGAGAAACGAGGTTTTTTTTTTACCTCGTTACAACGAGGCAAAATCGGGACAAAAATTTTGACACGTTTTTGCCTCGTTTGGACAGAAATGCCGAACGAGGCATTCTGAGGTTTATAGTGATAATAACATCATTTTTGGATTTATTGGGGTCGACTTCCTATATGTCTGTAATACATTTATAGGCCAAAAAGTCGATAGTTAACGAGATATCTAACAATCTAGCCGCATTTGGCGGCTATTTTGTATTTATGCTAATTAGAAGGTCAAAAACTCAAATTTCGGCTTGGGAACATGGATATTCGTATTCAGCACACCAAAATCATTAAGAAAAGTCATGTTCTAAGTAAATCCTTTTTCCGGAAATTTAACCAGTCTATTCAGTTTCCTCTCACAGGAAAGGCCCTTCGCGTCCGCTGAGATAAATAAAAATGAAAGATAAGACTTGTGCGCGATATCACCTTCGGTGGAAGCGGATGTTAAACACTAAGAACAACAACCCACCCTCTCTTCTCACGACAGCGATATTAAAGTGATTTTTAGATATACAAGAACCTTTTATTATTTTAAAACTGTGTTTTAAAGTGACTTTTAGATATACAAGAACTTTTTATTATTTGGTTTTTTTTACCTATCTTCTATATATTACTAATTCAGATGTAAATAAGAAAAGTCATGTTCTAAGGAAATCCTTTTTCCGGAAATTTAACCAGTCTATTTATGTATTGGACGTTAAATTTGTAATAAACAACAAAACAACAGCAAAAGAACACATATGTATAATAATATCATGGCCTTGACTAATAATTCCCTATTGTCAAAATATAAGGTATGGTATGAGTTTATTTAAAACGCAAATTAAATTAATTATGAATATTGCGAGAATAACAGAACATGGGGTTTAAGGCGAAGGATAAATTCTATTGTCTAGAACACTCATGAGAGGAATATTCCTACTGTTCATTTAAGGATAATATTCACGCCATCAAGCTTAGTAACCAATGATAATAATTAATTACGTAATATTTGTGCAATTAAATAATAGATAGCCGAAATCATAATTGCAGTGTCAAATGTGTAGGGCAATTATATATAGACAAGTAATAACAACAAACCAGAAACCATGTATGGCAACCACAAGGTCAAAGGCATGACAACAACAAGATCAATCAAAGGCAAGGTGTAACTAACGGATTAGTGAAGCAACTGATGATTGGCATTAATTAAAGATACATTAGTTAAGAGTTTAATAAAGAGTTGACCATTCTTGGTATAATAATTCAAAAATAGATGATAAAAAAAAGAAAATATTGAAAATTTCAGTCAAATTACTTTATTATAAAAGGAGTTGTCACTGTTGGAAGTTTGCACTAGAAATAGGCATCAACTGTATCTGCACCGTCTACGAGAATTGCCGATCGTTTGATTGACAGACGATAACTCCACTTACATATTCTCGATTATCAAGTAACATTCTCAATGGCTATAGAACCCTCGCTTGGTAGGCCTTTCATCACCAGTTTCCGATATTCAGTAACTAACATTACACGTTAGTTTGGTCGGCCATTTCTTGATTTAATTTTACATGGACGGCTGTTTAAATCCAAGCTATACCAAAGCCATCCGAGGGTCTGCAGAGTTGATTTTGAGCTTGTCATGTAAAGGTCTAATTAATAATTTCTATAATATCTGAAGCCTAGATAAAGACTTGCAATAGGCTGATTTAGCTCTGGCATAATGTATGTTTAACATTAATAATTAATCATAGGGGTCAATAATTTAGACAGACAACCAATAATGACAAATCAGAAGCCATACATGAGGCGAGGGTATATCAAATGAAAGTAAAAGACTGATAATAGGTAGTAACAAATGAACTGAGATTTTAGCGATTGAATTTTCGGCCTAGCCTCGATCATCATTACTAAAATCTGTACGATAAAAAACACAGTCTCGATTATCCATTTAATGATTAAATTCTGAATGGAAGTCGAACAAGAAATCGAAACTTAATCCAATACACATCTCAGGCTAGAGATGCAACCGAGAGTTGATTATGGTCTGGATAAGTTTTTTCTAAATAACAATGTCTAATTAATAATTTAGATAACATTTCAGGCCTAAAGAAAGACCTGCAATTGGCAGATTAGCTCTTGCATAATGTATGTTTAACGAAAATAAAATATAATATTAAAATGCACACAAAACAGCCCAATCCACGGGATACACCCTTTCAACCGATTGAGACACACATTTTACACAGGTTAAATAAAAGAAACGGCTAACTGGTTTACTAAATGATACTTAAACAATTAGACTATAATTAAGTGGAATATTATGGATCGATTATGAATATCGGAAAGCATACACCACAGTCTTAACCACTGGCTCCTAAATGATTACAGTCCCACACACGTCCTCCCAATAGATACACACGTTCCACAAGTTTAGTGTGGGGAAACCGTATTAGTAACAGAAAACTAGTTTTATACACATGCCATGTCTATTGAAATTAGTTTTGCAAGTCGATTACAATATTTGCACAAATTAATACACTTGATTCACGAATTAAATAAATTTAAGCATGTTGGAAAGTCAAGGCATGTACACATTAGTAACTATTCTTCCATAAGCATGTGTTCCAGTATTTTGCTCTACCCAGTAACTAAATGCATCCTAAAGGATTAGAAATGAACTGTTGGATTGTTAATTCTGTGTGTAACCATAAACTGAACAAAAGAACAATAAATTCACAACGTGGGATATTAGGGTGCCATTACAAATATGTCTTAATCATAAGTAAAGAATTACAAATACAACCAGTGACAATACTAGACGATCACAAGGCTCTTAAAATATGTGGCAGAGAGAGTATGCGTCACACGTTGGGTTTGGCTTTCCACATCAAACCAGAGACACATATCATTGCATAGTGCTGCATCAGTAATGGAAACTAAATTTGAATTAACCAATCAGAAATAAGCGCTCCCCCAACCGCCACGTCTTCCGAAGAGAGACAAATGGGGTTTAACGTCCACTCGACACAAACCGTGTCATTTCGGGAATAACATATGGTTCAATTTTATTTCAATAATGCGCTTGCGCGTATGTGGGTTTAGCAGTGGGAGGAAACCGTTGGACCCGCAGAAACCCACGAGGTTGGACAGGCGACCCTACTCCTTGTCACGTAGAAGGGGGGTTGGATGGCTGAATGGTTAGCGTGCGCGCGCTGTATCATAAAGTCTGTCATTGAGTCGACTGGCGTGGTTTCGAATCCCCGGTTGTACGTGGCAAGGAGTAGGGTCGCCTGTCCAACCTCGTGGATTTTCTCCGGTTTCCTCCCACTGCTAAAGAACCCTACGCGCAAGCGAAGTATGTAAATAAAATTAAACCATGTTAGTTCCGAAATGACCTAGTTTGTGTCAAGTGGACGTTAAACCCCATTTCTCTCTCTCTCTCTCTCTCTGTCACGTAGAACAGGGGAATCGAAACCACGTAAGTTGATTCAATGTCAAACCTTATGATACAACTCACACGCGCTAACCATTCGTCCAACTTCTTTCGGTCCAACGAAGTCAGTATTCAGAAATTGATATTGCTTAAATAATACCGCTAGGAAACGATCCATTTAGTGACATTGGGGGTTCTATATAAATTAAATACAGTCTAGTCTCCAACAAAAACGGATGGAGCGTGTTACATGTAGTGAGAATTGTGAAATAATCGGAGAAGAAAGGTCTTCACTGAGTCGAAACAAAATGGTTTGTGATATACGTGGTATACTAGACAAGATAATGGATGAAATTTTAATCTCTTCAAATACCTTTGGCCCAGTCCACCTGTACAGTGTAGTAGAACATAACAAATCTTTAAAAATAGAAAATAAATATTTAAAATAAACAAAGCTCACTTTTGCAGCAGGATTCACACAGATGAGCCTCTTTTACCTCTGAACAACTGATGCATCTTGGATTTCGCATCCCTCCATATCGTGACCAAGGCCACCCACTCCTTTGTCCCGAGATAGTCACAACAGTGGTCAAGACCATTGCAATGCACAAAATAACACGCATGATGATAATATTGTATAATACTTTACTATACTATAGCACAAGAGTACGTGAAACAATTAGACTGCTGAACACAAGAGTTTATCGTTTGTTTTATACACAAATACCTGTTCACAGGTGTTCTTTTGTACATTATGTTTTAGGGGGTTCTCCCAACAAATAATATGCATCAGCTGTGTTTGGAAATAAAATCAGTAAATTTTATTTGGTCGTTAATTTTAGATCTAAAAGTTTTAGCAATCAACTTCTTGTCGACATGTTATTTTCATTTTATTCCCGGAAGTAATATTTTATATTTGTGCTGTTAGTGTTTTCCTCCTTCATCGTGATTGGTTATTGAAGATAAACGTGGCTGAACGATCGTTATTGTCAATGCATGAGGCACGGTATACCCAGGCCACACTACAATAATAGGAAACAAATTCAGTTGAATGCTATAATTTGGGTTGTTAGTGTTTTCCTCTTCATATCCGTGATTGGTTATTCAAGATTAACGTAGCTTAAGGATCGTTATTGTCCATGATGCATGGTATACCCCATATTCCTGAAGCAGTGGCCCAAGAAATCCCTCTCTGCCACTTGCTGGATTGACTTCTGATACTTGAGCTTTTGAGGGAGTGTCTATTCTTCCCGTTCAATCAAATATATCCCACGTACAGCAACATGATAGCCCTTCGTTTAATCTGGGTCTTCAATAAACTTTTGGACAGTGGTTTAAGGAATTTGAAAAAAAACGGTGAAAGTCTTGTTCGTCTCCAAACAGTATTGTATACATTGTATCCGTGTTGATAGCCCCGTTTGTCACGCAATCATTTCTCCTGCAATATTCTTCTATGCACTGGTTAATTGGGCATAATAAAATCGTGAGTCATGACGTAACGTTATGTAAACATATTTGGTCCAATTTGGAGCTTTGTTTAAAGCGTAATGACATTGTTACGCAGTTAGCTATTGGTTGTTAATCGGACTATTGATCAGTCATAATTTGGAATAGACATTTGCTTCCATTAAAGCAGTGTTTAGTGGGATTAGCTCTAATCAAACGAAACACTGCGGGGAGTATGGGTATATCCAGGCTAATGACTGTACTATACACTAACAGGAAGAGAATTCAGTTTAATGCTATAAATTATGCAATTCAAACAACAAAAAAGCACGACTAGTCATGAATGTACATCCACCGTCATGTGAGATTTAAATATTCTCTTCAACCTGCCATCACCAAGAATTACGTGATTGGTAATACAGTAACATTATGACCGTATAGTCCGTTATACAAGAACTGAGGACGCAGACTTATGAGGAATTCAATAATAAAACAACACTCCCTCCCCCATCCCGCTTGACAGTAGCACCGGAAATCGCTGAAATTGACATAATTATGTTCAGTGGTACATGCTAGAATAGATTTGACGTATTTGAGCGATGGCATACCATACTGAACAACCCAGAACTAAACGAAATGAGGACACCCTTTGGGAAGGCACGGAACATGGCCACACTGGTAGGAAATCTCATCGAATTAGAGCGTTATCAACCATCTCCAATATTTTCTGCTTTTGCATTGTTGAGGGCAATGTTGGCTACCCTGCCTACCCACATTTATACATTTAGATATCGGCTAAAATCGATAGTAAACACGTGTTTAAATATTTATATCCTCAACAGTCTATAGACTAGTTAATGATTGGTTAGCATATTCAATTACCAGGAAATATAGATTTATTACGTATCTTTACCGATTATTACAGGGAAACATTATTATCACTCTACAAACAGTTATAGCCCCTTGTAAAAATGGTTCACCAATCTCTGCTAGGGTTACTGCCATCTCTATGTTTTACACACCAACTTTTGGACTTTGAAGGAATTATTAGTGAGCAGAAATTCGCCCATGTATCTGTTACCACCCGTCACTTCAGTCAGTTATATAAAGGGATAACCCGTGTTTTCCTTTTGCGTTCGTCACTTCCGATTGTTGAAACATTGATTACGCATCTATCGTAGCAATGATCTCTGTGATAAAATAACATTTGGCACGCGTTTAACCAGTTCTATCACATATGTGATAATGACTGGCACCAATATTGTCCTTTAAGCTCGAAATGTTAATCATTGAACTTAATCAAGACATTCACCTAATAAGCATCTACATCATGTTAAACCATTCTACCTCAATTAAAAGCAGAGTTGTTCTGTTTCAAAGTCTTGACCAATCAAATTGCTTGTCTCACCTTAGCCTAAGCAGAACATTCTCATCATCGAACTTAGACAAGGTAATGATATAATGAATCTATACTCAGAGTTTCATCACTCTCACTTATATCATCAACCAATCAGATTGCTTATCTTTGTTTACAGTAAGGAGACAATGTTTATCATCGAACTAGATCAAGGCATTCACCTAATGAACGCCTACCTCAATTAGAAGGCGAGTTACTGTGTTCCAAAGTCTCGGCCAATCAAATTGCTTATTGCTCTGCTTACCCTGAGTAGAAAGTGCTCATTATCGAACTTAGTCAAGGTATTTATGTGATAAAACTATACACCAAGTGTCCTCACTCTCACTAAATTAGAACTAAAGTAATCGTGTCCCAAACACCAATCAATCAAATTGCTTATCTCTGCTTACCCTAAGCAGAAAATTCTCATCTTCATACTCCATCAACGCATTCACCTAATAAACACCTACGCTAAGTGTGAACATTCTAGCTCAATTAGAATGAGAGTTATGGCTCTGCTTACCCCAGCAGAAAATGCTCATTATCGAACTTAGTCAAGGTATGTATGTAATAAAACTATACACAAAATTTCATCACTCTCACTTAATTAGAACTAAAGTTATCGTGTCCTAAAACATCAACCAATCAAACTGCTTACCCTTTGCAGAAAAAGCTCATCTTCGAACACCATCAAGGCATTGATCCAATAAACACCTACACCTAGTTTGAACATTCTACCTTAATTAGAAGATAGTTATTGTGTGCCAAAGTCTCGGCCAATCAAATTGCTTATCGCTCTGCTTAACCTAAGCAAAATATGCTCATTATCGAACTTAGTCACGGTATTGATGTAATTGAACTATACACCAAGTTTCATCACTCTCACTTAATTAGAACTAAGTTATCGTGTCCCAAGCAGAAAATGCTCATCTTCGAACTCCATCGAGGCCTTGGCCTAGTAAACCCCTACACCAAGTTTGAACATTCTAGCTCAATTAGAAGGAGAATTATTGTGTCCCAAAAAAAGTGACGGACAGACAGACGGGCGAGCCCATTTTAATAGTCCCCTGCTTTCTTCGAAAGTCGGGGGACAATAAATAATATCTAACCCTTCGGTTGAGACAAAAATATAAGATCGGACGAATCATACAATTTTCCGTTACCTGCCTAGTTTTCATACACGCGAATTTCCAGTACGATGAAAATAATACGTAAAAAATGCTGTTTTTATTTCCCACATGCGGATAAATAGCATGACATAAATACGTGTGGACTTGCGCCTGTAACCGGGTATGAAAATATCTTTTAATCTTATTTACTTCTACTTCTAGGAATTTATTAAAGCAATAGATATGTTTTATTTATTGATTATTTGTTGCATATCATAATCAAATTTTATCCATATGGTGGATTAACACATCGGGAAACAGAATAAGAAAATAAAATTTATTCAAGTTCTGAACATGTTTAATTTATTGATTTATTCGCATGGCTGTCATGTTGCATATCATAATCAAATTTTATACATATGGTTGATTAAGCTACCAGGAAACAGAATGAAACAATAAAATTTCACGGCAAAAAGTATATAGAGTTAGTCCAGCCCTTATTTACCTTCTCAATTCACAATTATAATACCAACTTGACAATGGGGTCCTCCGTCGACATTCCACGCTAGGTGGCGCGCGTGTATTAGGGGGGATACCTATCAACATGGCAGACGACTACCGACTCGGCTTTTGAAATGTTCTGAACACAAACGTGGTCATATTTTCAACCTGGCTGGACTGCTGGAGGTTTAGCTGGGTATAGCCTAGGCCTCGCTATGCCAAATCAAAACAAACCGGCATGGGAATTCCCGGATATGACCTGCTAAACCTTTGACCTGCCAAACGAGCTTGCGAACAATACCTGCTTTATGTTATCAGAATAAGTAATTCTAGGAAGTTTAAATGAATTATTTATGAATATTAATCATGCGTGGAATCAATGGGCGAAACAATAATAGGGTACCGGTAGGCGTATTTAATCTACTATAGTCTAGGCCTTGCTGGTTGTAATAATTTTATAAGCTTATTCATATGACTATTATTATTATTATGTTAACCACTTTCGTTATCGTGGCCTATGTAAGATTTTGCCGATAACTTTGAATTTTATAGTTTGGTATGTGATATAATGTGTGGAAATAACAATAGGCTATGTTGTTAATGTAAGCCTTGTTGCTATTTTAAAACTAACACATTTCGATATGAAGACCCTAAAATAGCCGTAATTTTAAATTCACTAAAAGCTGTGTGAAAAAAATATTGACATTTGGCATGTAGGCCTGGTCAACTTTTAAAGTCCATTAAAGGAGCCAAGTCTTCTACATTGCAAACATGACTTTTTGTTCAATTTAAATTAACATTGAGGTTGTTATCTTACCGTGAAAAGTTGGACTTCTTATCCAATATTTTAGACAAAATGAAAATTTTAAAATTAGCACACGAATCGCGTACCCTAGGGTGCTTTTGAGCGCCATTTGGATGAAGCAACTCGATGAACGAGGCTAAACATATCTCATGTAGGAGAATACTACCGGTGTAGACTGGAATAACCAGATTCCAAAGACTGCCATTCAATTCAGACTCTTTGCATATTTCGCCAAAAATAACTGATTAGAAATTACAATAAAAACAGAAATGATTGAATGTAAATCAGTTTACATACATTCATATTACATTATCATATGTGTTGCGACCCATTTGTTTCCATTTATAGATGCCATAGAATAGCGTTTTAGCTCCTTTAAAATGTTGTTTTTTTCTTTCAGATTAGAATCGTATGACCGCAATGACAACTTCAGGGGGCCTGTCATTATTCTTCCTGATATGGTAAACACCGAATGGCCTATCACTGGTTATCAACAGTTAACTAATGAACACAAAGAGCATTTGCCTGTAATTAATTTCCATCAAATTGAAGGCTATCTCTTATACAGAATGGCAGGTAGATAAAGACCTCTATATCTTTCATTTTTAGTAATGTGTGTGTGTATTCTGAATTTGAATAGTTCAAAAATAGTAATGGAAACTGAATATATTGAAAATTCATTACAATTACTTTATTCTGACTCTGAAGTCTGAGCAATGTAACACGACTGTTTGAAGATATTGTGTAGGTTGTTCATTGTTGTAGCAATTATACTATAGGCTTGTTACGTCCACTCAACACAAACTAGATCACTTTGGGACTAAAATATGGTTCAATTTTATTTCAATAAATCACTAATTATGAATATGGTCATATCATAAACAAATATTGTTTTTCATTTAATAGAGGATAAACAAATTTCTGGAGATTTGAAGGCCCTTCAAAAGGGAAAAGATATGGCGGATGGTGGGAGAGTGCTTGCTTGCTCAGTTATACTAACTGCAAGCGATACATATTTCAGTGGCATAGTTGGTGCTGCCATGAAAAATAAGGTAAATCATGTTATTTTACAGCACAGTTTAAGGCTAGGTGGTACATTACTCATCACACTTAGTTATGCTTTTAACTAGAGACTGATGTGACAACAACCTTGACCTCTTAATTTAGAGGCAATCCAAATTGTGGGATAAGAAAAAAAAATTATGTTGACCACTTCTAAAAACCCCTACGCGCAAGCGAATTATTGAAATAAAATTAAACCATATGTTAGTCCCGAAATGACCTAGTTTGTGTCACGTGGATGTTAAACCCCATTTCTCTCTCTCTCTATCTGGTACAAATGTAACATACACCATCTCCAACAATGATCCATATTATTCATTTGAAAATTCTTGTCATATTAAAGGTGACGTACAACTACAAGCTTAAAATCCACTCAACTGGTGACCCCATTACTTCCCATTGTGAATGTCCAGCAGGCAAGGGGCCACATGGTACATGTAAGCATATTGCAGCAGTTCTATTACTTCTGCAATGGTTCACAGAGACGGGCGAAATTAAAGTAAAGAAGTCATGCACTGAAAACATTCAAAAATTTCATAAACCTAAAACCATGTACGAAGGTAAATATTGTTATTTACACACTAATTCAAATTAAAATCTAGCAGAGATTTGTTATTTTGAATTTAAATTCAAATACCCAAGATTTGAATTTAATATGCATCGGAATAGCTCAAATGAAAATGCTTGTGAATTTTGTTTAAAATATTAAAATTAAATGTAATAAACTAATAAAATATGTGTGCTACTTAAAAGTGACCCAAATATGGTTTCTTAAATTTTAGGATTAGTATTTATTACAAAAATTTTATTACAGGTAAGCCGGTCTTCTCAGAGGAAATTCCGACAAAAAGAAAGTGTATGAATGAAATGTTGGACGATCCACGACCTATAAAACGTCGAAATAATGCTGGTTATACCGATTATGTCAGAAACCGTATGATCAATTATGTTCACCATTCCTCTCAAGATCTGGCAATGCGATATTTGTTTCCTGTAGCTAACATTCAGGTAATGACTATATACAGAGGCGTAGCCGTGAAATATATATTGGGGGGGGGGACCGCAACCCTAACCCCTAACCCTATTTTAAAACCCCTAAATAATATAAACAAACACCATGTGGCCATGCTGTCCACACAACTCGTTTGCTGATTGGCCCACCGCGTGCAAAGTATTATGGTTATGTGGCTGGCTGAGCGGGCGATAAATATTTGGTTTAGGCGATAATGTTTTTGGGTACCTACATGCGATTCAATCTGATAAGTGGCAGAAAAAAATTAACTAGACATAATTTTATGGAACACAGTTACTTTTCACTTCACACATGTTTCAAGGATGATTCTCTCTGTGTTTTATTTTAGCAATGTAAACCATATTGGGATATGTACAGATAGAATCTTAACTAATCCTAGTAATTGTTGTAAATAAATAGGAGTTAGGATCTACTATGTAAATTTTTTTTGGGGGGGGGTCCAAGTATATTCAGACCCCCCCCCCCCCCCAGAAAAACAATTGTGACGCCCATGACTATATAGGGTGGTGCAGAAGAGCCCATAGATATTGTCCATGAGACACCAAAATAATTCCAAATCACTTTTAATTTTACAGATTGCAAGTGAAGACCATAAGTACCTGCCTTTGCCATTAACAGAATATTTGGTTGACAGAGCTATACAGGTAAATGCTATGATAGTTAATGTTTCAGGTTGAAATTACAACTATAATGTTTTTTTAGTGTGGGACAAACAACAAATATGCAGGGGTGGCCAGCCTTTTACATAACATGCACTAATTTATACATTTTTCCCAGTTTCATTTATTTAACATATTTTAAACTGAGAACAGAGTAATGTGAAAGGAGATAGCATTCCTAAAAAGATGTGCACATAATAATAAAATCTCTAAAAATGAAGGGTAGTCTTACTGTATTATACTATTCAAAAAAAGTAGGGGATATTTGATTTTGGGGGCATAATACTAAAATATGCAAATGACTACGAAAAAAGTCACTATAGAACCTAACAGAAGAAACATTTCCAGTTACATGTGACGCCCAAACGCACCAATAGCTACCGCATGGAATGCAGGTGATGCTTGGGATCATCATGGGGGTCCAACCCAAGATTTGCACGACTCTGACTTTGAATGTTACAGTCATTGTGGCATTGAATTCCAGGGTGGAAACATCAGTTTAATTGTTTTAGTGACCAGAAAACAAATTTTGATATGCGTCGGCTTACCCAAAATGAAAGGTTACGTGCCCTTGGCATGCTACAGATCGGCACAACACAGGCGGTTGTGGCGCGGACGATGAATGTTTCTCAGTCTGTCATAAGCAGGCTATGGTCCAGATACCGTGATACACAATCTGTACAGGACAGACCACGCTCAGGTCGACCAAGGGCGACAACTCAAGCCCAGGATCGATTTATCCGTACCTTGGCCTTGAGAAATCGTGTCATCACAGCAAATCAGATCAGCGCTCGTCTTCAAACAGACACTGGTGTGAGAGTGAGTGGCCAGACGATTCGGAATCGACTGCATAGGGGTCACCTTCGCGCCCGACGTCCTCGCGTGATCCCTTGTTTGAGAGATCATCACATTCAGGCAAGACGTCGTTGGTGTAGGGATCGTCAACACTGGGATAATCGACGCTGGAGCAATGTGATGTTTTCAGATGAGTCAAGGTTCACTGTTGATTTTTTGGACAGACGTAGGAGGGTGTGGCGTCGTCGAAACGAGCGCTTCCAAGACGTTAACGTCATCAGACATGATCGATTTGGGGGTGGTTCTGTTATGGTGTGGGGAGGCATCACTGTTGCTGGAAGAACGGCTTTACATGTTGTTGCAGGGCGTGTTACAGGCCAGTACTACCGGGACAACATCTTGGCAGTCCATGTTGTGCCGTTCGCACGACGTCATGGCCGCCGTTTCATCTTCCAGGATGACAACGCAAGATGTCACAGGGCCAGGATCGTTACAGGTTACCTCCAACAACAGAACATCACCACATTACCTTGGCCAGCACTGAGTCCCGACCTCTCCCCCATCGAGCATGTCTGGGACATGCTTGGACAGAGGTTACGTCAACGTCAACAACGTCCTGCCAATGTCCAAGAACTTGCTGCTGCGTTGCAACAGGAATGGGACAATCTGGACCAAAATGACCTTAGACGTCTCATTAGGAGTATGCCACGTCGGATCAATGCTTGTTTGGCAAACAGAGGAGGATTTACCCGTTACTGACTTGGTTGTGATGCTGTGGTAACTTTGCTATTTGACCCCGGGTATCATTTTACCCTTATAATGGTCAGTCTGTGCCTTACTTAGTCTTAGGATCATTTGGAATAAATCGATGAATGTGAACTTCATTTCATTTTGTCATTTGTTTCTTCGTCAGTTTCATTAGGTGACTTTAATAACACTTAAAAATCAAATATCCCCTACTTTTTTTGAATAGTATATATCTGTGTGGTCTCATTGAAACTCGTTTTGTTTTGCATATTGTGATGTTTTTAACATTATTTACAATATATGTATTTCATTGTTTATGTACAGCTGTTATCATTAGAATACATACCAGCTACACACCAATGAATCAATTCTCCGTAATCATAATTAGTACCAGCAATATAAGGAAAGGTAAAGTGACAGGATTGTTGATATGAACAGGTTTGATAAACAGGTAAAGTATCGTTTAGACTTAAAGTATCTATAATATCGCCAGTACTACGGGTACAACAGTGACTATCACAACCATTCTTGTCTTGTAGTTGCCTGCAGCCTTTACCTCTTGGTTTGCTACTGGCATACATATCCCCTAATATATGAATAAGTTGACCTCTAGGACAGGTTATAGTATAATTAGAACATGGTGATCCAGGGGGTCGATAACAATAAAACGTTGATACGACAACCAGCACTAGAATACAAGAATTAGATTGAAATGTGGACAAATCTATATATTTTCAATGCAAAATGGTACCAACCATGTGAACCACATGATACCATTACTATAATAAAACAATCAGAGAGCATGTCTAGAATACGGTAATAACACCACCATTACTATAATAAAATAATATACACTGACAATTATTACAATCAAACTAATACAATATTATTATAAGACGTAAATGAATATATATTATGTGATACAACCGCCATTATTATCATACACAACACCAACACGTGACTAGAATATGTAACAGTTATACACAACAACAACGCGTGACTAGACTATAGTAATAGTCATACACAACACCAACATGTGACTATACTATAGTAACAATCATACACAACACCAACACGTGACTAGAATATAGTAATAGTCATACACAACACCAACATGTGACTATACTATAGTAACAATCATACACAACATCAACACGTGACTAGAATATAGTAAAAGTCATACACAACACCAACATGTGACTATACTATAGTAACAATCATACACAACATCAACACGTGACCAGAATATAGTAACAATGAAAACAAAACCAATTAAATGTACAGTTGCTACTATCAAAAAGCCACAAATATAGTTAACCAATATTACCCTAACAACATTAGTAACATTCATATAACAATAAATTATTCCGAGAAATTAAATTAACGGAGTTTGATTACAGTGGTGATAATATAATAGATATATTTAAAGTTTTATCAAAATCAGATAAAAATTGTGACCTCTGGAGGGTCCACAACCTTGGCATTACATACTTTTACGCTTTGGTTACGAAATTCGAACTCAATCGTCGTTAGGATGTAACGGTGATTTATAATTAGTTGAACAGTTTTTAAAATCGGATATAAATTGTGACCACTAGAACGATCGCAAGCTAAAAATGCAATTTTTCGTATAATCACGGGTCATAATCCAGAACGCTACGGTCCGATATGTGCGAATATTGTAGTAAAAATAGATTTAACGCTTCATCAAAATCGGATATAAATTGTGACAGCTAGAGAATCCATATGAGCGATTTTTTTTTTATACAACCAGACAGTCCGATGCATCTATGGGATATAAACCGATAAAAATGTGGGCTTATAAAATTATACTCCAAAACACTGATATAAACGTAATTGTGATGATGTATTTGTTTATATATAATTAATATGATATTATACTAAATGGCTAAAATACCTGAATACAGGAATACAAAGACACCTAGATATGATTTCATCGTCATACACGCCATAATCTGAAATATAGTTGATATAGAAACCGGTCAATTCTAACATTTTATAGCGGTGTTCATTCCATTCATACTTGTCTTGACACTGGTGTGTGGGGTACGTTTTAACCCACGTTTTCCTGTTTTAATTATATAAAACATGGATTCGTATATAAACTCGACCTTTATATTGATCTGATTATAATATTGTTTTAGTGATGTTCTCTTTCTCAAGCCAGGTTGGCCAGCGAATTATTGAAATAAAATTGAACCATATGTTAATCAACATATTACCTAGTTTGTGTTGAGTGGACAAATTAAACTCTCAGATTCGTTAATGAATAACATT